TTTGCTTTAGCATCATAAATTTATTGTTTCTTCGCAAACAAAAGGAAAAATCAGCAAAAGAGAGAAGAATTCAAGTGATATCGAAAGATCATTGAGAATTTTTGTTGGATGGAGTCAAGAGTGTAATTATTTTTGTAATTGAATGTAATTATTTTTCAGAGAACATTTTATTGAAAATAAACCCTTTAGCAACAAGTGAGATAAAGTGTTTTAAATGTTGAGATCGCTCAATGTAGAATGCAATGCAACTGAATTGTCGAGAATTCACTAGTCGAAAAGAAATATCTTATTAAATTTGCTCATTTTATGAATAATCAAGTTTTTGACATGCATATGAATTGTTCTCAGGTATGTTTCTGTGTATTGAACCTGAATTTAATTTACTGAATGAGTTCCCTTCCTCTGAAAACCAAAGGTCACTCCCCACAGCAACACCTACCTGAGCTTTTCTATGCTGACCGGCTGAAATCCAATTTCCCAATGTTTTCGCGACGAATGATAGACAATCAGAAAATCTAGGATCAAATTATGATCCCAACTTGAAGGAGTTAAGCATATGAACAGTTTAAAATCACTTTGTCAGAACTGGCTTCCGTTTTCCGAACGCTTTACCGATCCGAACTCTGGGAGAAGCTTCACGATTTCTTTGTCGTCATTGGGATCATGACAGTCATGATCAGATCATGACAGCAACCGGGACAGTTTACAGTTTAGGAGATCATTTTGAGTATTTACTTTAGTTCTTTTTTGTTATTATCTTTAGTTACATATTTATGTCTTCTTTGTTAACTTTTTGTTACGTAAATATATGAGTTTTTTTCAAAGTCAAAAGCGTGTCTGACCGAGGGCCGGGAGCTTTTCAGCCACCCTGTATGTGATTGGATTGAATACATACGGTGCTTGGTGAACTCTATTCAAACATCCACCTGATATCAGCTACAAATTGTCAGAGAAGGTAATAGACTTACTTACATCGATTGGGTATTCAGTGGAGAAATTTTGATTTTAATGCAAGGTTTTCAGGCAATATGCCTAAGTCTGATCACCACTGTTTTGGCCGTGATCTTCGTGGCGACAAACGACGAATTTTGTTCCCGTTGCGGTGAGTTGGATGAGAGATAACAAGTAGAATTCAATGACTCATTCATTTAACTCGGTCAACTTTAAATCTTAAACTGGACCAGAATAAAATTGAAACCGTCAGGGTTGTGCCGAGTCCAAAATTTCAGACCTGGCCCGGCTCGACCTGGCCAAGGCTCCGTCTCTTAATTTCGAGGTTCGGCCCATCTTTTTGGCTGGGTCAAAGCTTGGACCCGCAGCGCAACCTCGGAAACTATCTCTATTTTAAATATCATACAACATGCATAAAACACAGGCTCCTCGCCGCTGCCGAAAACACGAACAAATTCGTGTACGCTCTCTTCTACTCTGTAAATCGTTTTTGCGGTCTCGACATGTGGCGATTTCAGTAAGTGAGTTGATTGTTCAACTTATCCACTGTTTTAGATGCGCCGATGATCTCTGGTCAACAATTATTGACGTCAATAATTTCTTTTTGTCAGTGAATGATCTCATTGAGGTGAATTCATTGCCAAAATCATATCAAGCATTGATGTGAATTCATTGCCAAAATCATATCAAGCAATCTAATAAATTGTTTCTGTTACTAAAAATGACTCCAATAAACCATAAAGCCAACGAAAAACGTATAAAAACAAATTAGAAGCGATCAAACGTAGATAAAGCTAAATTTTATCCAAAAAAATCCTTCACGGCTTCAACTTTCCAGATTTACAATCAAAGCTACCCTTAAAAGCTTACAATTATTTAGATTTGCCTTTTTGTTAAAAGGAAATGGTCAAGTTGGGTCTATAAGCACGTGGAATGAATTCAAAACAATGGAGTGGAAGGAGCCGGAAAGAAAACGAAATAAAACCGTATTAGAATTTTAAACAACAAACTATGGGCAAGCAATATAAAAAGGAGGGAACGAACGAGAGCAGGAAGGGTACTTTAAAACGCGTTACAAAAACGTAATAGATTTTACGAGGGGGAAAAAGGCCTAGTAGGAAAACCAGCATAAAAACCGGAAAAAGTTTCCGACTCGATCATGGAATGAAGCCAAATGAAGAGAGTGGGGAAGGAGAATTTGTGCGCGGTACGGTAGCGGATTCATGCTTTAGAAAGCGCACTGCGCCGCTTTGGCGCCAATCGCTTCCAACTACCTTCAAACCTAAGCTAACTTCAGAATACAAAGACAGAAATTTAGAAATTTTCTGGCGACAGTCAATTCGTATTAGACAGGGGCGCTGCAAACTACAATTTTCAAAACTATTGGCTGTCTTCAGATCAATTTGGCTCGATATCAAAAATTTCTGTCCGTAGCCAATCGCAAGTTTTTCAGATTTCAAATTCGCACATTTTTTCCGCGTGAGATAACATAGCTTCCATCAAAAAATTTCATCTAAATTCATCAGAAAACGCCTTTTGCCTTATTTCGCGCCGATGTGCTTCGTCACTCCCGTCAAGGATCAAAAATTCTATGGATCATGTGGGGCTTAAAGGTCATTTTTATAAATTTCTTTTGATTTCATAAAGTGTAAGGTGAAGGAAAGACAAAGGAAGGTCAGGGAAAATCGGATTCGAAACATCCCTAGCCTAGGTTGGCTGGTTCATCTGCAATTCTATCTGAAACATCATCTGAAACATCCATCTGAAATCATTTGGCCTAGCATGGCTGGTTACGAACAGCGTGGGCGCCTTTTGGTTAAACAAATTAATTCTTTAAAAATCCGCATTTTAAAATTAATCAATTAACCAAGAACTAACCAGACAAAACGTTGGTCAAAAGATCGATGAATAGATTTGTAGGCAGATCACTGAATTACTAAAGTTTTCTCTTGTGGGTTAATAATTTGGAGACTATATCAAAATAGCGCCGTCAAATTTCTCACAATCCAAAAAACCAAAAACCTTAAAAAGCCTAAAAGTTAATTTGAATAAAATTCAATTGAAAAAGCCTTTTTAAAAAACTGTTTCACCCATCATGTAGCCAAGAACGCAAGGATTTTTTGATATAAAACTTGAACTGGCTTTGTTTTTTGGATTGTGGGAAATTTGACGGCGCTCTTTTGATATAATACATCGTTTGGCACGTTCTTGTGGAGTGAATATGAGAAAAATCGGAAAAATCGAAATTTTGACGACTTCCTAAACATTTTGTTCGTAAAACTTTACGCCGTAATAACTTTTTTGTGAGTAGGGGGATCTTTCTCAAACTTTGGTTTTTCCTTGTCTGGACATGAACTAAGAATTGTCCGAACTCGGATTTTTGATTCCAAGGCATTTTTTTTGGACGCGTTGTGAGGAGTCCTTCTCTGGGAACTTCTTAAACCGAGGCAAAATTTCAACACCGATGTTTATCTATGTCATATGCAAAAAGTGGAACAAAAAGTCGCGAGGTTATTCTATGGAAACCTCTATGAAAATAAATGAAATTCAAATCTCTGAGCTTTTATGGGACAACCTAATAAAGACAGAGTAGGAGGGGGGATGTTGAACACCCTGTATACTAGTATAATATACTATTGAACACCCTGCATACTAGTATGTATAACTCCTCTAAAGTAGCCTTTTAAGAGACATGGACTATGGCAGTGTGATAATCACAAATGAGTGAAAAATGACTGGACTAATTTGCAAGATTACGAGATTACGCAAAAGAAAATTGAGTTCGTATTGTAATTTTATGCCTTTCATCCGTTTTGTGCAATTGAAGAGTCGAAAAAAAATTTATCCAAATATCTCATTTGCCTAGCCCTCCACACATCCACGTGATCACGTCGAGGGTCTCTAATTTGATCTCACCAGCATCATAGAGTTGCCCGTTGGAATTGCTGGGTATACGCACTTCCATCAGCAATCCACAGTTCACCGTGTCGTTCTAAAAGATTAGAAAGTTAGCAAATTTGCCTACTGTGGTGCCTACTATGTTGCAATTTTCAAGAAATTCTTCTCTAGCTCTTAGCTTTTAATAACTTTGGTCGACCTCAGAATTGTGTCAACTTGACAGTTAACACTTTGTTTCATTCTAAAGCGCCTGTTTCTATTACCGTATCTCGTTTAACGTCAGTCGCAGCCTATAAAAGGCTTTTTTTCTTCAGCTGCACGGTCGTTATTTTCGTCGACTGAATTTACGGTCGATTAAAGTGTAATTAATTATTAGGTTGGTGCATAAGTCTTTACAATAGTTTTTTTCAAACTTTTGTTTCCATGGAAAAGAATTCTTCACCAAATTTGTTGCGGTCTGTTAAAAAGATCTGACAGAATAGGACCACCCAATCCAGATAATCTTGGAGGCCGGGATAATAGAGCCGCTGTGTGTGGATCGATGAATAAATGGGGAAGAAGGAAATGTCGAGGGTCCAACATTCTGAAATTGAATAATTTCAGATCCACTGGAATGGCTATAGAGTTAGACAAGTTACAAGCATAGTAATTTCTTTTGTTTAAGTTTAAGTGCATTATGGCCATCTGTTTTGATATTTTTTTTAATGGTTTTGAATCAGGTACAAGCAAATTGTAAAGCATCTAAACGTAACAGTCCAGGATTTTTGAAAAGAACCCATTTTAGTAAACTTTTATATTATCTAGATCAACTTTCATATTAATAATATTATCTAGATCAATGCTCAAAAAGTACATTGTATCAAAACAATTAGGAAGTCTCAGTTTTGAAAGAAAGTTCGAATAGCAAGCTAACGCAAAAGGAGCCAAAACTTGGCAACTACTGTAACCGTTAGAATTGAAAGTGTTGACTAAGAGTGCCGGGAGAAGGGGAATCGTTTGTAGGCATTTAAAGCATTCAGTTGAAAGAGAGGGCGGGTCCAAGAACCTCCATCCCCCATCCACCCAATTCAACCAATCATCGACACTCTGAGGGAGCGGTATCCATTTGCACTCATCGTGAAATGGTGAAAGAAAATACGGAAAGAGAGAAGATGTCCTTAATTGAGCAACCACACGAAGTGAGCACTCATTGTCATTTGTGGAGAAAGAGGTGGGAGAAGGCCGCGAATCAGAAGGTAAAATCAGAAGTGATTTGAGTTTAGGATGGGAAATAGGAAAATTAAAAATAAGATAGGCAAAGGAGAGATTGTTGAGGAGTCCATGATGGAGCAAGAATTTAAGAGAAAAGACTAAGGTACCGTAAAGTACCTCAAAAACAATATAAGTTGGTTTGGTTATTTCGTTATTTAAAAAACGATTTACTTTCGTAACAGAAAGCAGCAACAACCGATTTGATATACATATATATGCTTTATTCAGGCGGTAAAGAAAAGCGAGTCAGGCAATCATGGAAGGATATGGTATTTTACTTCTTCTATTTTAGATATGGTGATTTGTGACTGTCTCGACGACGTAATCGATCTGCAAAGTTTGCCGCATCCTCCCGGCTCTGGCCATCCCTTAATCAATTTCAAATCTATGTTTGAAAGTAATTATGATCTGGAAACGCGATTCAGTCTCATTGAATGGATGTCTCTTTGAATCAGAGTAGCTGTTTGATAAATCATTACTGACTTTGCTTACTGACAAGATGGCTAAATAATCTACGAAATTCGATTAAATGCTTTCTACGAGATTCATTTTTTGCCTGTTTTATACGAAATCCATACCTAGAATCTAATCTTGGGGAAAAAAGGTTCAAAAAAGTTGTCAGAGCTATGTCAATACTCAAACATAGTTGGCTCGAATCAAACAGTTTGCAACAACCGGAGAACAACACCCGACTATCATGGAACTTTTTATTTAAAAGTTAAATTGATGGCATTTTTCTTATTGCTTAACATTGATATTTTGCATTTTAGTGGAATTTTTTTTGATCTGTTTGATCTAAAAAATAAATTAATAACTCTTTGTAAGAAACAAAATTGAGATTAAGATATACATTCCGTTTTAGACTTAAAGAACTTTACCATCAAATTGATAAAGCACCGTTCAATGGAAATGTGGATCTGGTCTACATTAAAGCTCACGTGGGCATCCTGCGAAACGTGCAAGTAAAGTTTTTTTTTTAAATTGTGATAAAATGTTTTTGTTTCTAGACCGACAAGATGGCTGGAGATGCTAGTTTCTATCTACGAGGCTTGGACCTTTTACCAAACAAAGCCGTGAAAAGGGTTATTGTCAAATCCACAACAAGTGAGAGGTAAGTTGTTCTGAAATTTTCCTGAAAAATGTAATTTTTAGTTTATCAGCAATGATGAGCAATGATCAGAACCGAAGTTCGGACAATGATTATCAAAAAATTTTTTGGGTTTGGTAACCTCATAGTTGTTGGACAAAATAAAAAATTTTAAAAATAAGTACAAAAACAAAATCATGACTTTTCTTGTATAAAACTGTGGGGTCACATAAATGCGTAAAGAATATAGAGGCAAACTATTTTGACAGGATGTAGAAATAGTTTTGGCGTTAGCGCGTCCAAGACTCCAAACTGGTTGCAAAAGTACAGTTATACAACTTTCAACAGCCTTTTTCGATTTTCTACCCAGAAAGGCTAAAGTTATAGGCAAGTATAGGTAGTCTTATCAGAAAAACTCAATTGTGTACAAAGATTAGGCGAATGACTATTGAATTATTTTCTCTAAAACTACTTTGAGTCGAGGACAAGTTATTGACACAAAAGTTTAGTGAATCCCATGTTTTGTTTATTCGGTTTAGATATTCTCCTTCTGAGTACATCAAATTTCAGCTTCGCCAACATGATATTATTGAAGAAACCAAATCGAGAATCCGCACAAAAGACCACACCGCAAACTCAATTGATTCAAGTTTCCAATATTTTCACCTCAAAAGGCCAAATGAAGTGATTCTCGTCATACAACTTTGGTGTTTTGGGTTTACCGTATTCTCTTTAATACGGGGGGGGGCACATCCGCGCGAAATAAGGCAAAAAAACGTTCTCTATCAGAATTTTGAAGTTGAAAATGGCTGAAAATGGCAACTTAAAAAGGTATCAAGTCTTCGCAGAGTTAATCAATTTTTATTTTTTTGGTATCAAAATGATCTTTGCACACGTCCACACAAAAGTTATTGGTTTTGAGGGCGCAATCTTTCGACCACGCTGAGAACGAGCCACCAAAAGTTGGTCGCGGCGAACGAGTTTATGGTAAAAGTGCGGTTTTTTCGATAAAAGGCGTTTTAAAAAAATCGAGTCAGACGGATTTCGATAATTTCTTCACCATTCGATTCAGCACAATTTTCTGCGTCGAATGGATATTCAAACGTGAAATTCTGATAGAGAACACCATTTCGCGCCGATGTGGGGGGGGCAAATGCCTCCCTTGTCCCCTCCAGGGTACGGGCCTGCCCCCCCGAGATAACACAAAAGTATCCCAGTCTTATAATTTAAAATAGTTTTTAACAAATTTTGATTTTTGATTTATGTGTCTCTTACCTACTTTTTTTTGGCCGATCAATTTTAAGGGATTTTAAGGGAATAGTAGTACGCACTACTATTTTGGAGAATACGAGACATATTACTAGTTTCATGGGTAAATGAATATTTACTTCCCTTCCTAACTCGACTTTCCTAATTTGAATGTTTTCTCTTGAACTGACTGCTTATGTTTTTCCAAAGTCCTCAAATGTGCCCCCACGCTCCTCTTTACACACAACTTCTGTGCTTAAGCAAATTGGCGCCTTTTCGAAGTCTCTTCACCCTTCACCCCAAATCGTCCCTTCACCCCAAATCGTCCCTTCACCCCAAATCGTCTCAATCGATCAATGTTTTCCCTAAATACGCTACCAAATGAGCTGAAAGTCTCAGTTCTCGAGCATACTACCACTGATGTATCTCAAAAACTATTTCAAACCACTAAAAGTTTGAGAAAATATTATTTGATTCATGGGCTTTTCCCAAAATATATTCTTCGACTCCAGCTCCGATTTTCGACTTCAGCTTCTTTTTTTCTTAACGATCTAGAGCTGGAAGATCGAAAAAGGAGTTGGACCAAGTTCCGGCCAACTTGCGATCATCCAGAGCAATGGCTTTTCTCTTTGGAGCTGCAAAGTAGAGAAGTTCTCGAACTAAATATGGATGGGCTAAACACAACAAAAATTCTCAATTTTCCGTTGAAAATCTTGGCAACAATTCGCTCTTGCCGTGATCTTAGTATTGATCTTGATCAATCGAAAAAAAACGATTTTCAGCGTTTTATTTGGCTTTGTAAAAAGAACAGGATACTAGAAAAAGTGCGACTTGTCCGAAATTTTCAACTCACAAATGATGGATCACTTATTGGTGCTAATCAGCTTCTATTCGATCATTGGTTTCCTTCAGTTGACCTTGGATTTTCCCTAAGAGGAAATCAAACAGATTCACTAACTCTTGAAGCTCTATTCAAACGAGAAGAATTGAAAGCCACTAAATGCTTTATATTTGAAAATCTCTTCACAAATTATTCCGTTTTCTCGGCTACTCAAGGAAATTTCTATGCCTTTAAATGTCTTGAAAATAAATGTCCCTTATTGGAGTCGATGACCAATCTCTGGTCCAGGCCACCAACATTCAATGGTCGAATATCAACAGTAATGTTATATGGATCATATACTCAACTTCTTGTACAAAATAAAAGTCGAATAGAGTTTGTCGGAGAACATTTGAGCTCAATTGTTCGTCATTTGGCAGAACTTGACGATTTGCTTGTTTGGATTTCGGCACAAACTGGGGAGGAACGCTCGATTCGACATTTTCAACCAGAACAACATAAAAGAAGCGTGTGTGCCCGTTTCTCTCAATTCCCACAAATCGAGAATGAGGTCACAAAGTGGATCACAGAGTTACCAAATATGGATCTTGCAAGGCACAGTCCTGGAATGCTCGCCTATCTTCGATGTGAGAATCGACGAGTTCTGATCATTGTTGGTGCGTTCTTCTCGAGTTCTCTCGTTGTTTTCAAATATTTATAAGTGTTTGGTTTTTAGAAAACTGATCATAGTCTAGCTCAGAAATTTTTTTCTTGTTTTCTAACAGCCACGCTGCTCCGTAAATACTGTAATAGTACCCCACCCCCATAATGATGGCGTGGAGTGTTGCGTAGTCTGACTTTGAACCGTTTCTCTTGACATTGGTTCATGCTACAATGCGCGCCTAGGTATCAAATAAATAGCTGAAATTCAGGGCTATTTTTTGATACCAAAGGCGCCTTTTTGTGAAAGTACGGGAGCTTTGCAAAAATGAAATACTAAAAAACTTTTGCGACTACGCGACTGGGGTCCTATTACCGTATTTACGGTTTGTCTCAATTTTCCTTTACACAGTTCCTAGCAAATTGTAAAATGATCTCAAATAGCATTCGTGTGACTTTCTGAAGTTGTCTTGTTCTGAATCAATGTTAGTTAATTTTATTATTCTTGTGCAGGATAAAGACTTCATAAAGACTTTACCATCCAACCAGAATGCAGCCAAATCAAGACAACAATAAACAACAACAGTATACTCATATACTATTCACATATGGCTTATTTAGAGATTTGAAATTCACGAAACTGTAGAACTAAACCTTTTCATCCAGAAAGCCCTACATAGTTTAGAACTACACAACAAAGTGAACATGAAACTGCTAATAGCTACGCTCAAATTATTAGGTATTTGCAAAAGAAAATGCGGATTATAACCAACATTCGAAGAACCCAAAAATCAATAAGAAAACAACTTTATTCCACAAGATATTCGCCATTATTATCAACTATGCTTTTCCATTTTTTGTGTAGAATTCGGCTGTTCGGATTTTTCTTTTGCTTTTTTTTTCAAGAAGTTCCGACTAGTGTTCTTTGTGCGTGCACAACATATTACTTGTTGTGACACTTTATAGTTTTTTACACTCTTACAATAATAATTCCCAAATAAAGACAATAAGAAAACATAGTAACTATGACAGTCATCGATAAAATGGAAAAAACTTAACTTTATATCGCACGGAGCACAAGACATAAATGCATGATTGGCGCAATTCATTCAATTCAATTCTGATTTCACAATCATAATCAAAAACTTTAAAATAGATTTCCATGGGAGTGAAAACGTTGACAGCAGGAGAACCAAAGTATCCGCATTTGATTCATGAGTATTGCCGGAGAGCTTTAAAACAAGGAGCACCCATCTCTGAGTGGACACAAAACACAATTTTGATACGAGAATCTTTTGAATGAATAGAGAAATCGAGATCATTTGCTATTACGTAACTCACAATACGTTTAATGAACTTTTTGACAGGACAAAAATATTAGGTACTTGCAAAAGAAACTTCGGATTATAATCAACATACGAAGAACCCAAAAATCAATAAGAAAACAACTTTATTCCAAAAGATATTCACCATTATTATCAACTTTTTTCTTCCATTTTTTGCGTAGATTTCGGATGCCTGATTCGAAAAATTTGGGGTCCCGCGACGCAAAGTAGTCTTGCACCCAAATTTCGACTTTTTCAGGATTGTTAAACTTTTGATCTGCAAGAGAGTGTTGCATAGACCGGAACAAGTGGTAATTTGAGGGAGCAATATCAGGCGAATATGGCGGATGAGGCACAAGTTTCCAGCCTAATTCTTCTATGGTGTTTTGAGCCAAGTTTGATGTGTGTACCCGGGCATTGTCAGCGAGAAAATGGATTGTCCTTGGATTAACACCTCTTTCTCGTAGAATTTCATCAAATTTCTTCAGTTGTTGGGCGTAGATTTGAGACGTTATAGTTTTTAAAGATTTTCGTAATTCAAAATAAACGATTCCTTTCATATCTCCAAAAGACCGACAGTATCACTTTCTTTCCGTGAAGATCTGGATGTGGTGTCGAAATCGGCCGTTCTCCTTTGCTCAACCATTGTCTTTTGCGTGTTGTACTATTGAAATATGTCCACTTTTTTTCCATCGTCAACATGCTTTCAAAAAAAGCACGACCCGTAGCCTTTTTCAATAGAATCCGAGACATTAAAACTCGATTGGCTTTGTTTTCAGGGCAAATTCATGTGGGACCCATTGGCCACAACGATTCCTTTTTCCAATGAACTAAAGGTGTTGAGAAATTGTGTTCGGATCACATTTAAAGTATTCGGCTAATTCGGGCAAAGTTTGAATTGGATCCGACTCGACAATCTCCAGCAACTCCGCACTATCGAGGACAACTGGACGATATCCATGAGGCTCATCT